ATTTAATTTTTATATGATTGTCTGGGAAAGAACATTTAAGAAATCCATAGCTTCAATTTAAATAAACATATTCTTTAAGGCCTTAATTAGAAAGGTCGTAGAGAATTGCTGGCTAAGCCAGACTCCTTTTGTTCAATAAAAGTGAAAAAAAAATCCAAACAAGTTAATATAATTACAAAATGTAAGGTATCAATATAGGTTGTCTCCGATTTACCACAGGATTCCATTCCGAAGACTATCATAAGTTGCTTCTGAAATAGGTTGAATACTTCATTTTCTTTTTCTTTAGTTCTCATTATTATTGCCTTTTATTATTATTCTTTTATAAAACCATAGCGATTGAACATCTGTGATGTAACATCTGAAAATGGTAACATCAGAAAATTATGTGCTGCAACACTGTAAATACATTCCAACTCAAAACACCCGTAGGACAAGGTAGAACAAACAGCTCCTTAGGGGTCCCACAGTTGCAAATCTTTATGGGAGCAGACAGCCCCAACTTTTTCAAACAGAGCAGCTTTTGTGTTTTAATCACCAACTTTGCAGTTAGCAGATCAATGCTTATCCTACATCAACACTAGGGATACTTGCAACGTGATAGATAGGATTTATTACTAGCAATAAGACAGATAACATGAAATACAGCCATGTATGATTGCAGCTCTTCATAATTTAAAACCATCCTAACTTGGAACTACCTGTACTTGCAGCAATAAACAACAAAGGAAAAACTTACTAAAGGTAGAATAAAAATTCTCTCACAAGGAATAGATATTTCCATGTTTGAAAGCCATAGTGAAAGTAAAGCTATAACTCATTGACTTAGATCTTGCCCTACTTTCCCACATTACTTTTTGTTACTGACATAAAGAAGATTTTGGTCTAAAGTGTTATATAATCCTAGTAATACACTAGATCCTGACTTTCTATATCTTTTATTACATGCCATTTACTGTAATTATCTCAGATCCTTTAAAAAAGAGCAAGGGTAGAAATAGCAATATTGTGGGGTCATTTGAACTTAAGAAAATACATTATTTGTGTTAACAGATCATGTTACTTTTGTAAGTGACAGTAGAAGGCAAACGCATACTTTTGTTAGCCTGGCATTTGTCTCATGAGAAGCTACCTTTATTATTTTAGAGAAGTTTGTGTATCAAATCTATGTTAATAAGCAACATGCAATGATAAGTTTTGGACCTTTTATAGCATTAAAAAAGAAAAAAGGTCAAGCTAGATATTCTCAAAGATACTGTTAGATATTATAATTGTTCACATCTAGTAGGAGCTCTGACACATTACTTATAAAGTTATTATTAAAAGTACTATTAACACATAAACAATGATTTAGATTTAATACTTTAAATCTCATGTTTTAGTAGTTTGTGAAGACAATTAAAAGGCGACTGGAAAGAAATCAACAGGAAATTGCCAGATGTTCCGGCGGGTTCAGCCGATGATCTGAAGTGAGGGACGTCCAGCTGATACCAGAAGAATGCTGACTGAGAGCAGAAAACATCCGAAAGATGTTTGCCTGCCTTATTGATGAAAGCAGCTGACTATGTGGAGCATAACAAATTACAGATCACATTGAGAAGACTGGGAATTTCAGACCACTTCAATGCACTCATGTGGAACCTGGCTGTGGATCAATAAGCAGTTGTTAAACATGACAAGGAAATACTGTATGATTCAAAACTGGAAAAGGTGGGTACCAGGGTTGAATCCTTTCACCATGCTTATTCCATCTGTTTGCTGAACGAATAATCCAGAAGCTGGCCTCCACAAATAAGAATGTAGCACCGGGATTGGAAGAAGACTTGTAACAATCTGTGATGTGCAGATGTCACAACCTTGCCGAAATGAAGGCAATTTGAAGACTGAATTATACCCGCGTGTGAAGAAAACAAAAATCCTCACCACAACTGGACTGATGAAGAATATCATGAAAAGACAAAGTGGAAGTTGCCCACTATTTCATTCTACTGGACAGCTAAGAAACAAATAGAACACATTGCATGCAGCAGATCTACTATCAGAGAGCTCTTCAGAGTTCGAGAAAGCAAAGAGAGCACTTGATGAGGAAGGCAGTGCCGAGCTGAGCCCGTCGTTTTACTTGCCTCACGTGCATAAGAAAAGTGGACGACGAAAGTGTTCGTAGGGGCCGTGCAGTGCCGTGCACAGAACACTCTGGGTTCAGACTTCTGGTAATGGAATCCCAGGCTGGCCTTTCAGTTCTTCATCAGGAAACTGAGTCAACAGAGTAAGTCAGTTTCTGATAAATGATAATTATTGTACCCTGCAATAGTTAACTTTCTCCTTCAGCTATACAACAGGTTTGTATTCCACAACTTAAAATGGAGAAAGGAGCAAAAGTGGAGCATGGAATTAACCTCACTGTTACAACAGCCATAGGCTAGGGGATAAACCACCAGGCAGACGTGGCCCTAGCCCTCAAAAGCAGCGGCAACTAACAGCATTGCAGTAAGAAAAGCACGGGGGGTTGAATCGAACCCAAGAAACAAATTTTCACAAATCAGAAACAGAAATGCAAATTGCCCTAAAGTTTTTGCTTCCATCAGCCAGTGCCAAATTATTGACCAATACCACCACACCAAGGTTAGAGCCACCTATTTAGTTACTGGGCATCATTCTTACACATCATTCTTACACAGCTGATGGGCATCATTCTTATACAGCAGAGAAAACACTTCTCTCCACCATTAAATAAGCCATCGTTGCTTGCAAGATGTTCAGATTTTCTTTTAGGAACAGAATAATGCTATTCACTGACATTTGTGTAAAGCTCAAAAGAAAATGTAGAGGGCCCATGTGCTCATTTATGCCAATAGTCATTTTTGAAAGTAATCTACAGTCACTACGGTAATTTTAACTGAAAAGTGGGTCTGTAGAAATTAGCACAAATAATAACCTGGAGGCTACTGTTTTAAGCTCTACATGTTCTGTGTCCGGCAGAGGAGGGAAGGACACAGCAGGGAGAGCTCTGATGGGTGTTTGGCATTTGTTACAATGAGCAAGGTGGGTATAGTGGACTTGCCTTCTTTTGTCCATAAATACTGCCCTCTGTGAAGCTGCTGGACAAAGAACACTAAGAAAAGCCACAGCATTATTCTTGGCAGTTCTGGTTACTCACAGGCAAAGTGCCCCCTGCCACCTGTTTCCTCCCTTACTCTACCACCAATTAACAACCTCTAACGCAAATGTGTGAGCACCTCTCTCTTATGAGTCTGGAAAGGCAGAAAAGGTTCTAAGATACAGAAGAAAAATATATGCATAGATTTCTATGAAACTTTAGAACTGAGTTTACTAAAATATTTAAAACATTTCAAGTAAAAAATGTTGGTATTTGTGACCAAAAAAGGGGGTGGGAGAAACAAGAGAGTAATCATTCTCTAATGTACATCTGTACTCTAAATGGTTAAACATGTTCTCTCAATGACCTAAGATCTCCACTGCCGGCATCTGTACTTTGCATGCCAGGGGCTGTCTGTGGGTCTGGAGCTGATGAAAGGTTCACTCACCTTGTGGCTAAAATATAAATAAATAAATAAATAGACTCATCGTTACTCAAGGTTTTAAGACATAATACAGTCAAAATTCCAGGAACTAATGAGGTATGCCTTATTTATAGGCAACCATAAAGAGTTATTAATGTTTAAACTCTTGCCTATCAATCAAAACCCTTAATGGGAAAGAAAATCTTTTGGCTATCCTAATAAATTAAAATGCAGGCAGGTAGCGTATAGGCATGGGCTCTGGAGGAAATGAGCAAACCTTGTATTCTTGTTAAGTTGAACGATACAGCCAGCAGCAGGAGAAAAACCCTCGTAGCAAATAAAAAGGGAAATGATGCAGCACCCTGCGGCTTTGGGTGGAGAAAGCAAAGCATTTTGGCTGCCCTTGTCCCAGTCCACAGGTGCAGCACCTGTGGGCTGATCCCGGCTACCTCACCCACCTGTTCCCCGTGGGAGGCTCAGCAGTAGCCAAGGTCGCAACTGGGAGAAGGAAAAGGAAACACATCTCTGGAGATTACTTGCACAGAAAATAATCTGATTCATAAACTCCAGCAAAGTAAAGAGGAGAGAGAAGCTAAGCACCTAAGGATAAATGACATAAAAGAGAAAGGAGTTCAAATTGGCCAAGAAAAGAGCAGAGAGATAAACAAAAATTCAGAAAACAGCGCAGGTGCCACTGGTCAGGACAACACAGTAACAACAACAAATACACAGGCTCATGTTTCCCAACTCTGACTGAGTTATAGTTGTTACCATGAAGAAAGTTAAGAGTACATAGCAAATGACAAATTACTAAGACGTTTCCCTCTGTACAGAATCTATTACTCTAGGTGTGATTCTAAGAAGATTCTATACCTGCACATCACTAAAATAGTAAAAGAACAAACATTTTAATTTCAAAATGAAAACTCCCAAGTGAAAGAAAAACAACATCTTCAATTAAATTTGGGTTCTTTGTTTCATAAAGCATTTCTTTTAAAAATCACTGGGATTAAAATGTGATCATTTTTAATAATTGCAGTGTTACTGCGCCACACAGTATTTTTTGTCAACTTACTTCAAAAAGATGCTGTAAAGGATTGGACTGAAGTTTTTCTTCGTAACCAAACAGTTGGAAGCCAGTTCCAAGAAGACCTACCACGATAATTAGCAATTGAAAAGATTATAAAATGAAACAGTGGAGAATAGTCATGACAGGGAATAGGTATACATCAGATTAACCTCCCATAAGTATGTGCTCTGAGAATCATCCCCAAATGCAATCTATTACTTCCTGCTACCCTCTAAAACAGACATAACTCAAGCCCAACATATGGAATACCACTGATATTAATTTCACAGAAGCCAGCTGACTATTTACTCATCAAAGACAGGGTTGAGGTCTACGTTACCTCGGTACCAAAAGGGTACCAAGAGCTCCCTCAACAACAGAAAGACCATTTATGAATTGCTACTCTGTGTAAGGACAGCATGCAAGGTACTCAAAATATATAAAAACAAACTGGTGGAAAATGGTTTAAAAAATATTTTTAAATTGTACATTTTAAAACAAAATCAAACTAGGACTGGGTTTAGTGTTATGAATTTAGTCCTTAAACAAATAACTTACGGAAAGCAAAACCAAATATAACTTGAAATATCCCTGATCACTTTTCCCTCTCAAAGAGACCGAACAACCAAACTCTTTCATCTGGCCATACACTTGTCTTTTGCCAGTCAAGTATATTTTTCTGTCGTTAAGTATCAGTTCAGAGTTAAGGGGCCAATGTCAAAATGAAAAAAATTTAAAAGTACTAAGTAAGGATTTGAAGTAACCATAACATTTCCTAGTCTGTACTGTGAATATTTATATTTAAAATGTTTTGCTAAAACATGATCATAATTGCAATTTTAAAGGGTAGATGTAGCCTGGGATCAAGTAGGTAGTTTATTACTTTAAAAGCACACCTACTTCTATAACTATACCAATCACCAAGCTCCAAGCGCCAGAGGTACCGTTGTCAGTGGAGCTTGCTTAGGTGTACTTTTCCATCCAAGGCTCAGCAGAAAAGAGGATGCGACTAAACAGAGGAGCTATAAGACTCTGGAGCTTAAATAGCAACAAGATCTACTGAAATGTGTGTCAACTTTTTCCACTTTTGTGCAGGAGTAAATGTGATTAGGATGCAGGGCCTTGGGAGCAGGGCATGGAAAAATGCCAGTTATACTCCAAAAAAAGAAAAAGAAATTGGAAAAGTAAAGGCCGATGCCACTTAATATTCGATCTAAAACAGTTTCAAAAACTAATTTTGCGCATAGGAACTGTCTGCCAACTTTCAATAAGGGAGAGCATTTGAAACAGCCAAAATTAAAATTCTCCAGCAATGATGGTTATAATGGAAATGTTGACAGATCATTAAGCACAGTAGTCCTTTAGAGAAAAGCAGCTATAATAAAATCCTGCAGCTAAAATTTAATGAATACCATAATTACATATTTGCTAATGCCTGTGCAATGTCTAAATCAGTCAAACTACTATAAAGTGGATGGCATCTATTAAAGCCGGACCAGCAAGCCTGGAGCCTACCCCTCTGACCACCAGCTGCTGAGAACCGCAGGAGGGCAAGTCAAATGCAAGCCGTGTTCTGATTCCTCCCAGTGAAGAGGAAGGCTCTGGAACAGGGTCACATTCTAGTCTTTTCAAGGTCTTTGAAAAAATGTTTCTTACTGAAAAGAAGACGATTTGTAAAAGAAGGTCATGATAAACCATTATGGGAAAAAATGCCTTCAAATGAACTGGTCTTTCTTTTGGAAACTAGATGTGGAGCATACTAGTAATAAAAAACTTCAGAACTGGCAATGAATATTTAGTACTTTATAGAAGCTTAGTATTATTGAGCCTTTCTTAAAGATTAATATCCTGTAAAATATTTCACAGGCTAGATTCGGTCACCATTTTGAGTGCTTGTCACGTGTCAAGCACTGTGGACACAGATACTGCAGACACAGGCTGTGGCTTCCACACAGCACAGGACCAGACACAAACACAGAAGCCTAGTTCACACAGTACTGCAGCGCTGGGGACTGGGAACTGGGCGATGTGAGAAGGGAGGTAAGGGCTGTCTGTGTGTCAGAGAATGCTTTACAGAGGTGACACCAGCGCTGGATCTTAAAACACACATGATAGTTGGTAGAGATGTTTAATTTCACATGCTACCAGTCCTTTACTACCTTGAAAACTTCACTTATCCTGAATCCTTCCCAATCCTTAATCCCTAAATCCTCAATTACTGGTTTGTGTGAGCCAGCAATGATCCTGAATACACCTGTGACGTTGGAAATCATTTGTGACATTCAGTGGTGAAGGTCTCACTTCTGCTCATATTCTGTCCAGATGAACAAGTGACATAATATCAAAAGAAATTAAACTATTCAAGAAAATTAACAATAAAACCAGAAACACACTTACCAAACTGCATGCCCCAATCTCCAAGGTAATTTATTCTTGTTACTTTATGTCCTACAGCTTCTTTGAGATTTGCTATAAAATTTCCTAGCAGTCAATAAAATATCTTATCAGTTGTGGCATAAAACTCATGTGCTTTTGCTATTATTAAAGGATAGCATAGTAAATTCTTTTCATAACATTGACTAACTCAATCTTTTTTAGTGAACCGTCATAATAGTGCTTTCATCTATATTATGGAACGCACGTAGGGAATTACTTCTGGGGCAGTTAATCCAAAGAGTGGTTCAATTTTCACAAGAACAGATCTTTCATCAACATTAATCGAAGTTGAGAACACAAGTCTGAGCAATTGCTATTCCAAGTCCTTCATTTTTATTCAAAACCATGTTATTGGGAGCTAACACAAATATCCTATTGTTCAATCACATCAAACAGTATTGTCCAGAATTAGTTTCAAAACATTCTTTTCCTTCTTGGACTCCTTCACATCAGCTTTCTTTTACCTGCCGACCCCCTACCCCACCCCACCCACACCTCCAAGTCCATTGTGAGAACAGAAAATAACACAATTTCAGTATTTAACAAGACCTATATAGTTTGGTTGTGTCTTCAAGAACCTGAGACACGCTGTCTTGAAGAAAAAATCGCTTGCTCAACTTCCTTTCATTCACTGAAGCCCTAACAGACAGAGGTAGGCTGCGGCCTGCTCCCTCCTGTACTGCCTGTGGTAGTTTCCACCCTTCAACAGCTCTCAGAGCTACAGAGGCCAGAAACCTACCCACTCTGTTTCTCAGAACCCCTTACAGTGAGATGTTGCAGAAGTCATTTAGGGTCAGGTAACCAGAAACACTGATAAAAGATTTAGAAGATAGAAGTAAAAATAACTATTTTTTCCTGATAAGCACAGTTGTGAAGGTTTCTGCAATTTATTTATTTTGGGCACCATTACTGGGTGTCCAAGTGTTCTGTCATGGCCTCCAACGCTATTGAAAGAAAGGCTATGGGGCTGTTCTTAGGCTTGTATGGATCTAAAAGGTGGGGCAGGGGCAGTTTTCTGATAGTAACAGTAATAGTGTGCTTTCTGATTGCAGAAGAGTGAGTGCTCTGTTGGTCAATTTCTGTCGTGTAATTTTGAGCTTAAGGAGCTGTGGTGGCACAGTGGGTTAAGTGCTGAACTGCCAACTGCAAGTTCAGTCCAAGCGTCAAACCCACCAGCTGCTCTGAGGGAAAATGATGAGGCTGTCTGCTCCTGTAAAGATCTACAGTCTGAGAAGACCTAGGGAGAAGTTCTACTCTGTCTTACAGGGCTGCTGTAAATTGGAATCAACTCCACGGCAGTGGAGTTTGGCTTGGTTATATCAGCTTTAGGCAAAGCTCCCTCAGCTGTCCCAATAGTTTTGTAAACCATTCCCTTCCTGTTTTTTCTAAGAGTGGGTTTGGTCTCTGCCACTAAATCTTGACTAATACACACACTGGATTAAATTACTGCAGCTACCTTCTTTTCTAGCTTCCCAGCTTCTAGACTATGCGTCTACATCATCCCTTTAACAAGACTCACCTTCTTTAGCTGCTACGCTAACTGTATAGCTCTTTCTTCTTAGTACTTTATTATCTTACAACCCAGTTGTTTGAACCTAGCCTTTTGACACTGGCCCTAAGGGCAAATTCTGGCTATAATACTGACTGCCTGAAAGCTCTTGGGGAAGTTTCCTTTAGTACCTCAGTTTCCCAGGCCACAGACCAGTGTTAAAAGTACCTACCTAACACGGCTGTTAAAAGAGGAAACACATGTAAGCTCTTAAAACAGCACGTTCTCAATAATAAATGTATTCTCTTCCTGGTCCAAATACTTCCTTAATAACAGCCAGACAAATTTATCATGCCCTACCCATCATTTAAGAATCCCTGGTGGTACAATGGTTAAGTGCTTGGTTGCTAAACATAAGGTTAGTGGTTCCAACTTGCTTACCGGCAAGATGGAAGAAAGACTAACAATCTGCTTTCCCATAAAGATTACCGGTTAGAAACCCTATAGGATAGTTCTATTCCATCCGACAGGAGTGCTGAGAGTTGGAGTCTACCGGATGGCATTCAACAACAGCCCATCATTTACACAATTCTGTACTTTTGACTGATTCATGCTGTTATCTTTTACAAAACAATCATTTACCAAATAGTTTCACTGAGTTTTATCCTTTCCTTTCTTAAAATACCACTTAAAAACTTCATAATAAAAGCAGTTGGCCCAAGTTCAATAGAAATACTACAAAGTATGGATCTCTCCAATTTTTAAACATATTAAGTTCAAGTTAAATGGCTTTCTCTTAAGCATGCAATACACATATTCGGACAAATAAAAGGCAGATTATTGACAATGACCTCCAAAGTTCCTTGCAATTCTACCATTCTAAAATTTTAATTTCAGTTTTAAACTGGGCTTTTTGCATACTGTGCATGTTTTAAATACATGAAAGTCATAAGTATATTATACATTGAAGCATTGTAGCTATAAAGTACTATAGCAATCAGTCTTAGCTAAAATTGTCTCATTTTAATTTCTAGTATTAAATACTCAAGCTAGTATCCACATGAATGACACTAAGATACTTTTCCAATATAAATTATATTTTTTAATTGAGGAATTGCTGTCTATCCAACATAACTATTTTCATTTTTGTATCTTTCCATTCTTTTCCATATATACACAGATTTTATGAAGATAAGATCAAAACATGCATATCGGTAAAATTGGTTCTGCAATTTAATCCATAGCTTTAGAATAAAATTCTTTTGACAATTTCTAAACCAGTTCCTTTTTTTCATATAACATTTAATTAGCATCAGGATCATACCAAGTCAAAGTTTTATTTATGTGCTTATTTTTGTCAGTTAAGCCATTTAATTGCATTATCAAACACTATTTCAATGGCGTACTTAGTATTTTCTATGAAATTAATGACACTTACCTATGATGGTAGACCGCAAATGTCCAACATGAAACTTTTTGGCAACATTAGGAGAACTGTAACAAATTTCAAGAGTTACTTTCCTGTTCCAAGAACAAAAGCTCTACAAGTGAACTGTGCCTTCATATTTAACCTCATTGAGGGCCAAGATCCTGGCAATGTATGGCAAAGATACATTAAAAACTAGAAACTTCCAGTAAGTATAACACAGAACTCAGAATCTTCTTTAGTGAAATTGATAGTGTGACCATATTTTAAAAATTGCTTATTTATGAAGCATTTACATACTGGTGGAAAGATAAAGAAATTTGGAAGTATTGTGTTGATGTAAAAAAATCAAGAATAATGGGAACTAAATTTAGTATAATGATTTTCAAACCTTCTCAAAAATCTTTCAGGAGTCTAAGGAAATTTTGTTTACATGAATATCTATCAAGACTTACTATATCAGAAATTAAAATACAAAACCAAAAAATATTTATGCATAAAACTTCCCCAGAGAGAAATCGTAGCTGTCACTTCAATGACATAATCAAGACATTTGTCATTCCTGTCTGCTCTTGACATGCTGAAACCAGTAAGGTAGACTATTCACCAACAAACAGGCATAGCTCCATGTATTTTACTAGGATAAGCTCATTTCCTAACTCAGAAGAGTTATGAGGAAGGTAAGCATGTCTATTTTTATGGATCTGGAAACTGAGACAAGAGATTATGAAGCAAATGTGGAAATATCTTAATAGCTTTTGAATCTGGATAATGAGCACTTGTGGGTTAATCATACTATTCTGTTTTGTGTGCATTTAAAATTTTTCTAACTTTTGCAACATTACAAAAATGATGTATTGACTTAAACATAGCTAATCAAAACTAGTAAAGTTGGAGCTTAAATTTTGGTCAATCCAACTCTAAAGTTTTATATTTTAAGCTTGGCCTTACAGATTTATGTACATAATTATGAACCCAAAAGGAGATTCATGTAATCATTTAGAAAGAAAGAGTCCTTCTAAAGCATAGACTTCCAAACTTACCTTAGCCTACCACCCTCTTTTCAGGAAAAAAAAACAAATCTCAGTCCTCCCCCTACCCCCACAGCAATATCTTTTGTACTGTAGTCCATAATCCATAACAAAGTATAGGTATCTGCTTTTGCAGCTCCTGGATAGTTCCAGTGCCCTTCCAGGGGTGCTATCACCCACTGTGGTAGTTATATAATTTCATGTCAACTTTGAAGATATATAAAAGTATAGGGGTGGTATTCAACCTGTTAGGTCATACCCTGATGGTGCCTCCTTGTGGTGTGGCCTTCTCATAAGGAATGCCAGGGAATCTTCCCCTCCCACCTCTGCCTGGACCATCCTGCTTGCTCATCTGGAGAGCTATTGGATCCCTGCGATGTTTCCACTGACATTGGAACCACATGACTTTGCATCTACCAGGCTGTGATATTCCTGAATTCTCCATCATTGCATGTGGCTGCGTGAATCTGAAGAGGGACGTAAGGACTTGAGTTGGACTAGGCTGGGATATTTTCTTAATATATAATTACTTCTTGATATAAAGTTATATTTTACACATGAGTGTTACTCAATTTGTTTCTCTAGTCCACCTGGCCTAATACACTCACTTTGGGAAACACTGCACTACAGGGTTAAAGAATAAGTATTCTTCACCACTTGTCAAGATAAAAGAAAGAGACTTACCTTTCTACTTTAAACAACCAGAAACAGATGTGAAATGCTGGTTTTTCTTCTGGACAGCAGGCACTAAAGAGTGTCCCTCACTAGTTTTCACGTTTCCATATGTTAATCAGCGAGACCTAGGTCATGAGAAAGCCTTCCCCTGCCAAGACAGTGGGGTTAACCAACACATAGCAAGATGGGGAACACTCACCTGAATTCAACCACAACCTTCTTCTGGGGAATATCGGAGAAGAGCTCACTTTTTAATCCATACTTTGCGCCATCTTCAATTACCTGGTGTAACACTGTCTGAAAAGCAGATGGCATGAGGTTTGGTGATTTTAAACAATAGACTGCAATATTCTTAATTACTTTTTTACTGGGAATTAAATGTTGAGAATTTGCTAATGCCTATTTATGAAACTGAGAATCTTATAGCCGTGGTGGCAGCTGCACCACTTCAACCATCACCTTCTATAACTACTGCTAGTCAGAGTAGTAAAAATATGTTAACATCTATGGGGTTCCTGGGTCCTTTTATACACTATATCGAATATAACAAGCAGTGGTTGCTATGAATCTACTTGATGGCAATGACTGGTTTTTTTAATAGGTATTTTGTATGTAAGAAAACTGACACTCAGAGAGGCCAAATAACTGCCAAGAGTCCCACAGGAAATAAACCAGAAGTACCAAGTTGCTGCTGCTGCTTTGATGGCACTAAAACCCACAAGTAATGATGGAAAATAAAAAAATTATACCACAAATGCATCCTGTCACTTACTTAGGAAACAAAGAAACATCACATACATTTCTAAAACATATTCCAGCATATTATAACTAAACATATTCCAGGTCTTTAATTATTGATTTAGGATGTAACCCCAGAGATTTATAGCTCCTGCCTTTAATTTCAGTCCGGCCTGATAAGCAATCTTTCAAAAGTGGTCTATTAGCTCTGAGAATGATCCATATGAAGTCGTTTTAAGGCATTATTCTACTCATGTAAAGAGTTACAGTCTCAGAAACTCACAGGGGGAGTTCTACCCTGTCTCAGAGTTACAATGAGTCAGCGATGATTGATGGCAGTGAGTATTATTAGCGAACCACTTTAAGGTCACATTTATACCCCCCTGATTTGCCAGCGCTAATAATTCAATTTGCAGATATGAACAGATATAATCTCTGCCAGGCTAAGTTGCACATCTGTAGGCAATGACAAAACTTACTATGGGACACAGAGCACTGGTTAAAACTAAAGGCTGGAAACTTAAAATGTTTTTAAAAATTAAAATTAAAAAAAAAAGAATGTTTAAAATAGTTCTGAGAAAAAGTGAATTTTTTTTCTTGATGCAATCTGAAAATTGAGAAATATTTGGGAAGATTTTTAACAAGCAATCTAGTGGACATCCTTTAACTACAACATTTTATAAAATTTGTTAATTGTAATAAAGTATGAAAATTCATGTCCTTTGTAATGAAAAATATACATAGGTATATATCTTAATTCAAGATATATACTCCATGTCTTTAGCTAACTGTAAAAGCAAAATCCTACCTATTAGAGCCCATTTTCCCATTTCAGGACAAGGAAAAAACAAAACAAAACCCAGAAACTATCTCTATCTAGTGGCCAGACATTTGGAGGGCACTTCAGCAAACTGTATTTCTACTTCCATAAAACTGAGGCAGCAATTAGAAGAAATGATAAATTATAATCACTGGTTCTTATCAAGAGCCCAGAAGGTTGTAAGCACTTTTTAACAAGATCAGAACAGCTCTTGTCCTTGTGGCTGATTTTTGGTTAACTAATTAACCTGCAAAGAAAGAGTGAAAATAAGATTTTTTTTAAAGGTCAAAGATTAGAGACCACCATGAAACACACTCTTTAAGGGAAATTACAGGGCCAATGAGACAATACTTCTAAGTATCACCTATGCAAGAACTGATTTGGGTGCTATAGTTATGTTCAATGAAAGTCTGCAGCACTTAAGTCTGACCAACATGATATGGGTGCTTTTTGTTTGACTTTCTAAATCAATAGACCAGAGCCTACACTGCATGAATTATAAAATTCAATTGAGATGCAAATTCTCAATAAAAGGTCTCAACACTGTCTCAGCAGGGTTATCTTCCAAAATCCCTTACTCAAGTGAAGCCCCAGATCTATCTGCTTTCCCAGTGCCTCCAGGCCTTCCTGATTTCTCCATTGCAGAACTTTCCTATATCCAGTGTTTCCCCAAATGGGCATGACCTCCCCGCTGGAGGGCCCAGAATGATCCAATCTCAAAAACCAAGCTCACTGCGATTGAGCAGATTCCAATTCACAATGAGTGATCCGACAGAGCAGGGTAAACTACCCTGGGTTTCTGAGACTGTATATCTCACTACATGAGTACAAAGCCTCATCTTCCTCCAATGGAGAGGCAGGTGGTTTCAAATTGCTGACTCTTTGGTTAGCAGCCCAATGGGTAATCACCCCACCACATGGAATAACCAGAAAAAGCAGATTTATCTACACATCATCCTTTATGGGCTATTGTACAGAATATTTAACTGTCAGGGGGCACTGAGCAAAATCAGGTGAAATAGGCCAATTAAGTTTGGGAATTCATCTAATAAACCATCACTTGTTAGTATTTATAGGCACTACAAGCCCTCATAGAAATATGGAACTTACAGGGAGCAGGCATTAATCACAATAAAGACACTCAAAACATGTAAAATTCAATTACAAAACTATTGTGTGAGTTTTCTTATGCACACAATGGTATGAATATGTGAGAGGATCTCCTAATTTTTAGAAATCACCAGCCATGTATTTATCGGTGAAGAGTTATGGATGGCTATAATGCATATTCAGATGGCTTAATACAGCAAAAGGCTACATCTAGGTGATGTTTCCATTGTTGTAGACTTTTGACTTTTCTGTATGTTATAAAATTCACAACACAAAAAGTTAATAGAAAAAACACCTATTCTACCAAATTCAAACCAAACCCAATGCCATCAACAGTAGACTTGTCCGCAGAGAGTTCCCAGGATGGTAATCTTTACAGGATTATACTGCCACATCTTTTCCCAGAGTGGCTAATGGCTTCAAACTGTGGCCTTTTGGTTAGCAGGCAAGCATTTAACCACTGCACCCCCAGGAATTGTTATCTATTCTATGGGCAGGGTGGTATTAAAATATCCAATGATCAACAAAAAACATAAATAATGATAGAAAAAATTTAATATATTTTCATTCTTAAAATAACATAAAAAACATATATTTTAGTCACACACATCAAATGAAAGTACAAGCCCTTCATCAAACCATTCTTAAAATTTCCAAGTCCTTTTTGGATGGTTAGAAATTGTTACTGTGATCTTTTCTTGGCATAGCTATCACTAACTAAGTAGTGGCCCTGTTTGGGGGCCATGGTTTGACTTAAGAAATTATTTTTAAAAAGCTGAACAGCAACTGTGATAACACCTTCAAAGAACAGATGTACCATACTCAGCATGAGAAAATGTACATGAAGGATTCAGAAGGGCCCTGCTGAGGCTATTCAAGAGCTGAAGGATAAGGAGCCGACTTGGGGAGACACGTAAGGGAGAGGAATCAGTACACACTCAGGTTTTGAGGTGAGAGGAGGCGCAATGAATGCATGAACTGGAGGAAGACCACTGTGGCAAGAGGGAGAGTCAATGTATAATGGCTGAGAAAGAACTCACTTTTACCTTTGTTAATAGTGCTCTGTTTATTTTGAAATTCACAGTCCCTTGACCAGTGCTGATTTCACTCACCACTGTATCACATTTTAGCTGAAAAAATAACAAAGCAAGTTAAAAAAAAATAACAAATCAAGTTAAATACGAGGGGGTACAAAAAAAAAAAACCCAGACCCCACCCCGCAAGCTATGTATCTAAATTATTTTATTTATTTTTTTTTAATTTTTCCTTTTTCTAAATTATTTTTATAAAACAATCTTATCACTTTCAAAGTACTCCAATACACTTATATTTGTCAAATCTGCAATTCCATTCTTGGAAACAATTTTTAAACTTATCTGTTTGACAGCACCTCCCTCTTTCCCCAGCTCTTCTGTCCTCAAATTGCTGTTCTTTCATGCCCCTCTTCATCAGCAGAAACAAAAAGAAGTCGCAAGGAGTGAGGTCAGGGGAGTAAGGTGCATGGGGCAAGAGAAGCATACTGTGTTTTTACCAAAATAAACTGAGATAGCTGCAAGAGCAGGTGCATTGTTGCAGAGGCAAAACCAGTTCCCTGTCTGCCACAAATCAGTCCTTTTTTGTCACACACATTGTTATGCAATCTTTGCAGAATTTCTAAATAGAAAGGCCTGATTAACAGTCTGACCTGGGGGAACAAACTCCAAATGGACTACCCCCCCTCACATCAAAAAAACAGATGAGCATCATCTTGATCATTGATTTCACTTGATAAGCTTTTAGGGGGCGAGATGACAATGTCGTCTTCCACTGCCTTGACTGATGTTTGCTTTCGGGGTTTTAAGAATAGCACCACGTCTGGTCAGCAGTACTGACCTTGGAAAAAGAGTCTGGGTTGATTTGGAGCTGTTCTTTCAAAGCATGGCATGTTTTCACTCAATGCTCTTTTTGCTGGTCAGCCAGAATCCAAGGCACAATTTCACAGTGACCCTTCTCATTCCCAAATCAGTAATTTAAATACTTTGTCTTCTATGCATATATCTTCACTTTTTAACCGAGATATCTATAGAACTTGAAGAGCTTCCTATTGTCACTGAAGAGCCAACAGTCTTGATTTTTAAGCATTCCCAAGACATGCAGTAAAGGGCCTAACTATTGTAATTAGAAATAACTCTATCCCTGATATAATCCCTGATAAAAACCTGCACTGATTTTATGATCAAATGAATTCAGCTACCAAAGTTACTTTCTTATATGCTTTCGTTAATTAATTGTCTTTCTCTAAGATAATGACTTCCATTGCTCTGATTCTTTAAATTATTCAGATATTACATGTAATTAACTTATCAAAAAAGCCATGCCCGCCAAACACTTGTCTTTTCTGATGCTGTAACACTAATAATTTATATTTGTTATTCTATACAATCCTGTCAGCTTTTCTTTTAACTGTCAAACCCATCAGAAAAATTAGAGATAAGAGGTTTATTAAATCACTTAACAATCTATTCTCTACAATCATGACTCTATTTACATCTAATCACTTTTTCCCATTTTTAATGTTTAGTTTCTCAGAAACTCATTTTAAAAACTGCAACCCACTGTTCTAATTTATCAAGCTTGTTCTCCAAAATTCTGAAGTCCACCCAGCTTCAATCTATAAATTTAATTAACACTTCAGTCCTCCCTTAAGTAGTTAATCAAGAAATTGAACAATGTTAGCTCAAGAGCAAGCCTTCAAAGCTAATCTGAAAATCATCGTAACCTTCCAATACAGGGCTAAAATGAATTTAAATTACATTTTCCTTTATCTTGGATAAAGAAACACTATTATGGCTGAGAGAGTTTGCAGGGCATTTTTTATTATTTCTCTCTCTAAACTGAGGTTATTATCATGTAAAAAGACACAGTAGTGCTAGGGTACCTTCTCTGCCAGTCTCCTGGCTTGATCTTGAACATCTGGTCTCAAATGGTCCCTGTTGTTTCCCAATAAAGAATCCACAGAAAGTTGAAAATCAGCTATTTCTCTAAAGACAGATATTGAAATGAAAAAAACAAATGCCAGTTACCTTAAAATATTCCAGCATAAAAAAGACCGGAACGAGTCCTCCACACCCACATAATTTTATCAGAAGGTGGTACACTTTCACACAATAAAAACCAAGGGAATTGAAAAGCATCACCTCATGTTCATTTAGAATTATTTTATCAGGTTTTAAGAGTCTTCCTCCAGCACATAATTGTAGCCTTATGTTATTTCTGTGAGACGGGTACAACAGTCATCTTACAGATGTAAAAACTGGTGCCTGACAAGCTGAACATTTCTAAGATCCTACTACAGGCTAATAAGCAGACTTGGCAAAAACAACAAAAATGACATCACTTGGCATCTTCTACAATGCTCCCTCACTTATTCCAGATGCTTGCCTATTTTAAGGCCCCTCCGACTGACCACTTATATTTCCAAGACAACCAAAGGCAAAAGTTTATTAAATGCTGTAATTTGAATTTAAATAAGAAAAAAATTCTTATGATTCAATGGTATGGTACATTACAGAGACTCTTGAACCATTGACATTTGTTCTTTTCATTGGGTTGATGATAAAACAATGCAAAACCAAAGAAATACAGAAATAAATGCAAAACAACCAATTCATAAAAATAATCACTTGACTTATATCAGCTATTTCTATTTTCAGGGGGGAATATAACCCTCAAAATTCATGGTCATCAAGTCAATTCTGACTCATGGAGACCCTATAAGGCAGGGTAGAGCTGCCCCTGTGGGTTTGGGGAACTGCAATTCGTTCTTTTTTTAGATCACTTTATTGGGGGCTTGTTCAGCTCTTGTCACAATCCATCCATCCATCCATCCATTGTGTCAAGCACATTTGTACAAAAGTTGCCATCATAATTTTCAAAACATTTTTTCTACTTGAGGCCTTGGTAGCAGCTCATTTTCCCCCCTCCTTTCCCCTCCCTCGCTCATGAACCCTTGATAATTTATTTTTAAAATACTCATGTCTTACACTGACCGCTGTCTGTCTTCACCCACCTTTCTGTTGTCTGTCCCCTTGGGAGGGGGTTATATGGAGGTCATTGTGATCAATTCTCCTTTTCTCCCCTCACCTTCCCTTTACCCTTCTGGTATCACTACTCTACTTATTGTTCCTGAGGGGCTTATCTGTCCTGGATTCCCTGTTTCCAGGTGTTATCTGAACCAGTGTACATGCTCTGGCCTAGCCGGGTTTGTAAGGCAGAATGATAGTGGAAGGGGGGATGGAGCGTGGTGAACATAAAGGAACTAGAGGAAAGTTGTATGTTTTGCTGGTGCTATACTGCACCGAGTGACTCAGGAATTGCAATTCTTTATGGAAGTAGAAAACCTCATCATTCTCCTGAGAAAGGCCGGTGGTTTCGAACTATACATAGTAACCACTATGTTGTTACCCAGACTCCTGTTTCTATATGTACAATTTAGTGACATGCGCATTCTTCAAATTGTACCCCTGAAACAATGCCTTTCTACACGGTTCTTCTCCAACCTAAACTTATTGCCTCCTACTGTTCCAGAGAGCTTTGTTACTAGTTAAGCTAAGCAATAATTCAGTTTTTAGGATGACTTCAGGGGATTTTCTGGTTTAAAGGTTAATATGGTCAGGGATTCATCCACCATCCATGATTCCACAAAATCTAGAGCTCATGAAAATTTGAAATTACATTCTGCATTTTCCCTCATTTGGATTATGATTCTTCTGCAAAGTCTTTGAGCAAAATGTTCATTAATGGTGGTAGCTGGACACCATCCAACTCTGCTGATTCTATGTTAAAGGCAGCAGTTGTTCACAGAGGCAATTACCCACACAGTCCACACACCCTTCTAGTTCCTTCTTCCTCTATTGTTCCAAGTGAGTAGAGGTCAATTGTTATGCCGATTGCAAGGTTAAGACCTCAGGTGCTATATTCAAAACTAGGAGGTAGAAGAGAAGGACATGAAACCATGACCCTGAATCTGCAAACCAAGGAGCCAAATCCCATAAGGTGATTGGTTGTGCATAAATAGTCACAGCAGTTTTGTTCTTGTTATATATCACACCTTTGTCAATGAGTGCTAATGTTTACAGGTGTACAATGTATCCACAGCAATCAATCGGCTTCTGCAATCCTATCCTTAATCAGTACAATTTTCCCATTAATGCTAACCTCCAAGTCCCCTTCAGTCCTGTCCCTGGTTACGGGTGACAAACTTTCATTTCTATATATTCACTTTGTTTCTTATTTAAGTGAGGTCACGTATGTAATGTTTGTCCTTTTGTGACTGGCTTATTTCACTAACACAAGGTCAGTGATTTGAATTCATCAGCTACTCTGCATAGGATGAGGCTTTCTGCTCTTATAAAGACTTAGTCTCTTAAACCTTAGGGAGCAATTCTGTTGTCGCAATGAGTTGGAATCATCCTGATGGCGTGGTATGCTGCAGTGTGTATCCAGACTTCATTTCTCTTACTGGTTGAATAGTGTGCCATTGTTGCATGTATTAGATTTTGTTTATCCATCCATCTGGGCATTTGTTTCTACTTTTTGGCTATTGCGAAATGATGCAATAAGCATTGATGTACAGTCTTTTTTACATCTCTACTTTCAAGTTGCTGAGTACATACTTAGGAGTGAAATTACTGGGCTATATAGCAGTTTTCAGTTTCTGGAGGGAATCTTACTTCCCACAAGGAGTATACTGTTTTGCATCCCTACCAGCAGTGGTTAAGGGTTCCAATTCCCTACATCCTTATCAATATGTTATTTTCTGTTACTGTTTTTATCTTAGCCATCCTGTTATTGTTAGGTGCCATCGAGTTGATTCGGACTCATAGCAACACAAGGAAACACTGCCCAGTCCCGTGCCTTCCTCACAATTGTTCTTATGTTTGAGCCCACTGCTGCAGCCACTATGTCAATCCTTCGCGTCAGGGGCTTCCTCTTTTTCACTACCCCTCTACTTTACCAAACATGATGTCTCTCTCCAGGGACTGCCCGCCCCCCCTCCCCCCCATACCATGCCTCTAAGGAGCATGTTGCCTATACTTCTCTCAGGACAGATCTGTTGGTTCCACTGGCAATCCATGATACTTTCAATATTCACTGCCAACATCAAAGTCCAAATGCATCGATTTTTATTAAGTGTTCCTTATTCAATGTCCAACTTTCACATGCATATGAGGCCAGGGAAAATACCATGTCTTGGTCCAGGTGCACCTTAGGCCTCAAAGTAACATCCTTGCTTTTCAACACTCCAAGGAGGCCTTGTGCAGCAGATTTATCCAATGCAATTCATGACTACTGCTTCCATGAGCTCTGATTGTGGATCCAAGCAAGACAAAATCTTGCCAACTTCAATCTTTTCTCCATTTACCAAGATGTTACTATTGGTCCAGTTATAAAGATTTGGGTTTTTGTTACACTCTGAGTTGTAATCCATCTGCAAGTACTTCAAGTCCTCCTCACTTCTGCAAGGTGTGTCATCTGCATTATCCTAGTGGGAATGGAATGGTAGTTCATTGTGGTTTTGAATTATATCTATATATGCTAATCCAGGGGTCCTCCCTCCCCTCCCCTTCATATCACTGTGGGTATCCTTGGACTGCTAACTGCAAAGTTGGTGGTTCAAGCCTACCACCTATGCACTCCCTTTTGGAAACACTACATTGGGTCGCTGAGTCAGAACTGCTTCAATAGCAATGGGATTTGGGAGTGGCTGGCTAATGGATTCGGTGGCCATCTGGCAGTCCTCTTTGGTGGAAAAGTCCTACTTAAGTTCTTTATACATTTTATGATTGGGCTGTCTTTCTATTGTTAAGTTGTCAAAGCTTTATGTATTTTTTGGGTTATCAGATTCTTGTTAGATATATGACTTGTGAAGATGTTCTTCTAGCTGTTAGCTTACCTTCACTTTTTTTGTAAAACCTTTTGATGAATAAAGTTTTTAAATTTTATGAGGTTCTGTTTATTTATTTTGAGTTTTGCTGCTAGTGAATTTTTATTATATTAGATCATGTTGAAAAATAAAGTATCTAAAATGGTTTATTTTTTAAAACCAAGATTGGGTCCTTCCCACTGCCAAAGAACAAACAGATCTGAAGTAAATTTGGAGAAAATTGAAAAGATTTGACAATGATAGAAAGTAACATTTAACCGTTTTGTTTTGTTTTTCCCTATAGTAAATCTGTAAACACCTATTTAACCACCACTGAACATCTCTTAATGTTAAATAAAGAACCCGAGAATGAGACTTTTTAGGCACATTAAGTGGACTGATCCACTCTAAAAGGCCTACGAGATTTCATGTCACTTCTGAGATTAAGGTTATACCTAAAATCTTGTGTGGCTTCTACTTAACATTAAAGAATCTACACTACAAAGGATCATTAAGAAGTTTCCTGAGCCTTAATCTATTATCTAGCAGTCTAGTGTGGATTGCATTTACCAAAATCATACACTGACATTTAGCTGAGACTGAGATCGAGTCAATCTACCAACCCGTGACTGTGTGATCTTGGGCATGTATCTATGGCAACTGGGAGTGATGATGATGGGACCTACTTTATGGTTATTGAGAAATCAAGTTCTGGTTAAATAATACTAATCCTAACTCCAATGTTAAATGAAAACATTAACTCGTACCACTACTGTCCTCTGGGGAGTTACTCTGGCTGTCTTTCCTCATCTACTGGCTTGGAGGGCAAGGCACTCAGTGTTTCCTTTCTAAGACTGTTCTCTAACCAGGACATGACAGTTCAAGTTTCTACAAATCACCTTTAATTGAAGAAATCCACGTACGGTTTGATGAATTTGTTATATTTAGTCTTACATAGGAACAGTTGGTTTGTTACCAATAAATAAGATGTGAAACTAAAATTAGTTTAACAAGATGATGGTTACACGCAAAGCAGAGCAGAGTAACACACAAAGAAATAAGGACAATAACACTGAAAAATCACAAAACCCAATAGCAAGATCAATTAAAAGTACAGAGATTTTAGTATTCCAAATATTAAGGTAGGGTTTTGAAATACGGTAAGTATACAATAAGGTTTCATTTTCCATAAGCATAAGCAAGCATGGCTCCAAAAGTTTAAGGACACAGTCCACATGATTTTCTATGGATGATTTTTGAAAAATTAAGGACAATATAATCGAGGTTAGGCTTGGTTTGACGTTAAAAGTGTCTTAAAGCACTAGCTCAGGGAGTCTTCTGTTCTCTACTGCCCTAATTTGATAGGTAAAAATAGTAAACTCAACACTGTTGGTCGATTTTAACTCAGAGAAACCTTGTTGGACGAGGTAAAACTATGCTCTGGTTTCTAAAAGCTGTAGATTTCTTTCTCCTAAGGCACAACTGGTGGTTTCAAACCACTGGGCCATTCAGTCAGCAGATTGCTTTAACAAGTGGACCACTAAGTCTATACCCCCCTAATCCATGAGTATATGCTCACCTAACCCACTGCTGTCCATCAGATCCTGACTCACAGGGAGCCGGTGTAGGGTTTCTGAGGTTAGTGAGTTCAATCTGCTGACCTAGGGGTTAGCAGCCCAAAATGTACCCCACTATGCCATCAAGGCTTCTGCAATGGTTACGCATGGGTTCATTAAACTTCTCTCCACATTTGTAATATTATAAGTTTAAAGACTAAGAATTACTTCCATGGCACATGTGAGGGTTGTTTTGGTGGGGGTAATGTTAAATCTATATAAACCCGAATAATAGTGGCTGAGCAATTGAGTATGACATTACTCACCCTATCTACTTAATCAATACTTTATAGGAATTCCACTATAGCTGAAAATATACTTGAAATAATTCGGATAGCTGAACAAATTAATATATATGATATTAAATTACCACATTACTTTATAACAAAAGCAAAATTTCTTAATTGTCCTGGAACTTAATAGCATTTTAGAATACAGTTAGAAATGTTGACCAGCTGAGACTTGGTTTTGGTATTGTAAAGAATAAGAGGATTTATTATGGCAAAATAGAAATTCTTTGGTTTTTAGTAGATTTAATTTGTAGAATTTCACTTTATAGCCCAGAAAATTTTGACCTTTCTGTAAATTGATCTTCTATAGATCACAATGTTAGATTTTACATTGTTATGGGAGAGATCCTTTGGGGGAAGATAAAGGATATTTTATTCAAAACATGGGCCAATGCAGTTAAGCTTATTAAAAGCTGTTGAAACATAAAATAAAAACAGAAACATTCTCTAGAGTATACAGAATGAATGTCATGGATTTTTATGAAAAAGGTAATGGCTTTGGAATTTACATACAATCATGTGATCCTCTTAGTCATTTGCCTCTGTTCTTAGACTCAAGATAGAAGTACCAGCAAGTCTTACTTTTATAAATGTTCTCTTTTATGACAAGGCCAGGCATATTCTGCTAAATGTAGCAAATGTTCTCTTTCCTTTCTATTTGTCTTGGGTCTATTTTGGGAAAAAAGGTATTCATCCTATGCGATCTTATCTTGACAACATTAAGGGGATAAAATACAATGATATAGATACTGATAATTATGTCTTTACACTTTCCCCAATCTTAGGGCTTAGATGTCTCTTTTTTGGGTACAATTATTAATTTACTGAGAGGATATCTTATCTATTAAACTTTTGCACCCCAATGGCACATAAATATTCATTAGGGTATCTCCCTGCAACCAAGGAAGCAACGATCAGTTATGGATGGTCTTAGCCAAGAGTCCTCACAAAAGAAATGCAGCCCTCGAAGCACTGGTGTAATGGTCCTGAAGCACTGGTGTAAGATCCTTAACAAACCGGAGATTCCCAACAGCAATTTCAGTTCAGGAAAAATTCCTGAATATTTTTACTTGTTAAATGCCAACACGAATCCTAATTTTAACTTTGCTAATTATGACTAGTATAAACATCAAAACAATGAATATGCAGATAATAGAATCTGCCACATCACAGTATCTTAAATACAAATTTTAATCTTTATTTATGTACTCTTTATTATTTAAATCAATGGAAAATAAAAAGACTAAATATAACGAATAATCCTGATGGTTAATTTCAGGAACTATTCTATAACTTGAAGGGTAGCAAGTGTTTTTGTTTGTTTTGCCTATGTACAAAGTCAGCAGCAACTTACACCATTACAAATATATTATACTTAACTCTTTTTTGGAAATTGGAACTGCAGCGATCGACTTAATCAAGTTTTCTGGAGGAAGATCCAATACTCTGGAAAGCTAAAAATCAGAAAGAACAAAACAGAGTATGAGAATTGGTGATCTGCTATTTCAGATTCAGTTAAATATTACTGAACTTAGTTCAAAAGGAAAAAAAGCAAAACAGCTATTGTCACTAAGTGTAGATATGACAGTTTGCTGGACTGAACAGTCCTCAACCA